CATGTTTTTGAGAGAGCTCCTCCCCAGGCATGAGAAAAAATAATAAATTTTTGTGTTTTGAAGTTTGACATTTGGTATTAGTAAGTAGGAAAGTTCTGTTTTTCGTATGACCTTTGGTGTCCATCTCTGATCTCTAACATTTTTAAACAGATACCTGGCTTGGTGACTTTGAAGAGGCTTTCTTGTGTCAGCTTTGCGGGTGTCGACAGTTTGGATGATGTGAAAAATCACACTTACAATGAATTGTTTGTGTCTGGTGGTTTTGTTGTGTCAGATGAATCTGTCCTTAATCCAGAGTCCCTCACAATAGGTAAGTGGGATGTTTCCTGAAGCTTTAAAACAGACAAAAAAAAAGCCTGATGTTTTAGTGTATGAGAGATGCTCCCATCTCTGTTGTTCCCATCGCAGTGAGGAATCAAGTCTTGTCATTTTCAAGTCTTCTGTCTATTTTTGTGGAGGGTGTTTGGGGTTGGTTTTTTGTGAATATATATATATTTTTTGAGAACTTCAGCTAATTCAGTCTCTTTCTTACCTCAGTGGGCTTTTTGGAGAACACGTTTCTGGGGAACAAGATCTTGGAGACCTTGGCATCTCTTTTTAAGTTGGTGTTAGACTGTGTAGTTATGTACATGGAACCTTTTATTCCTTACTACTCATTACACAAATATGCTAGGAAAAAAAAAATTGAAAAACTAGATTCTGTCACTTTTTTTAATTTGAAATTCAATAATTAATGAAATTACCAGTTTTAAAAATGTATTTTAGCAAGGCAGATCACATATGACTGGATTCAGCTTTTCATAAGCAGATCCCACTGCTCGGCAGCTGACCCACAGAAAAGCAGCTCCGAGTTGGAAGGGTGTTGGCTGATCTGCTGGGAGGGTTCCCTGAAGTACTGGGGCTGGTGTTCAGAGTTGTGTAACTGCTTTGATCAAAACTGAAAGAAGCTTTATGTATAAACTGAAGCATTATTTTGGGTTTGCATGCCACAATGTTTAACTTCTATTCAATATCTCCAAAACAGATAAACTAAAACAGTTCTTAAAGTTTCTGGAGGATCTCAATACCCCAGATGGGAAATGGCAGTGGAAAGTCCACTGCAAAATACAAAAAAAACTTAAAGAGCTGGGGAGGTAAGTAGTGTTCTTCAAATACCAGTTGTTAAAACACTTCAGCTTTAATTATGCTCTCGACAACCCTATTAAGTATAACTTGCTGGTGTGTTTGTCTTTTGACTTACTTGATTGGAGGCCAATCCAAATATTAAAATTATCTTCCTAATAGTGTGCTTTTTGCCTGTTACAGAATGAACACTAACGCCCTGAGCCTGCTGACCCTTCTGAACACCTACCAAAAGCAGCACTTGGTTGAGATTCTCTCTTACCATCATTGTGATTCCCAAACTCGAAATGCTCCAGAATTAGAGTGTCTTATCAGGCTTCAGGCTCAAAACATACAGCAGAGACATGTTGTCTTCTTAACAGGTAAATCCCAAATTTATGATTATTTCTCCCCCTTTTGATAATAGGTGCTAAATATTAATACAAAATTTCTTTTTATGTATTTAGAAAAGAATCTCAAAACACTTTCAAATTATGTTGATAATGGAATAGTAGTTGCTACTGTTGATGACTTTATGCAAAATTTTAAAAGTCTCGTTGGGTATCACAACTCCGTTACTGAAGAAAACAGCCTTCCTCCCTCTGATGCTCACAAAAGACAATCAGGTAATATTAATCACACTTAACGCTTTCTTTAGCTAATTAGATGTGTGGGGTGGAGGTCCTTGAGATAGTGTGCCTTTACTCTTGTGAAGGAACATGACAGATGGCAAGGAAAACCCAACTCTCAAGCTACTCTTTTTCTATTTTAAATGATGGGGGAAAAGCAGCTGGGATGGAGCACCAATCATGGAGAACTCTAGGCTAAGGTGGTGGTGAAGACAGTAGCCATAGTCTGCTTTCAGGCAAAGGATAGACTTAATGATAGCTTTTAGAAACCATAACAAAAGGACTGGGATGTCAGTAATTGTACTCCTTTAATTGTCTGATCAAATACTCACCTACTGTGTAACTTTAGATGCTGTTTTGACATTAACCCCTTTGGAGCTGGGAGTTGGGATTTCCCAACACTAAACATGAACACAATGCGCAGAAGCTTTTAGCATCGGAATAACTGGACACTCACACAGAGGGTTAAATGTGGTTGTTGAGTAAGTGAACAAGAGTGGCAGAAGACCAAGACTTAAGTGATATTGGACTTGCAGACCTGAAGCGTAACACTCTGTGAGTAGTGTATGGCTTTTCTAACCAAAGCTTGTATTTCAATAGAATAGGACTTTCTCTCTTTTTTAATGTAGTTCTTGTAGAAACCGATGAAAAGGATGAGGAGGACATGTCTCTGGATTCAGGGGATGAAACATCACAAATAGAAATCTGCAACGATGCCTCCAAGTATGATATTCATTTGGAAGCTTTGCAGGCAGAGGCCAAGGGCTCACATGGAGCAGACACAAAAGAAAGCTGCTTATCTGTTACAGAGTTATCTCCCAAAGCACACATTGGCTCGATAGAAAAGACTTCTAACATTGACTTGGAAGAGATACAGCCCATTTCTACAGCGTGCTCGGCTGAAGGAGAAAAACACAAATCGGTTGAACAAGCTCCTTTCAATAACTTCCAAGTTTATAGCAGACAATTAAACATGTCCCATCAGTTCAGTCACTTTAATGTACTCACTCATCAGACTTTTCTGGGAACAACGTACCAAATTTCTTCTGCAAATCAAACCCAAGAAAGGGGCAATTATTTTCTCTCTGCTTACAGTCAGAGCACGGATACAGACAAGTCGTCATCGCCTGGTGGCTGGGATAGAAATTGTGATTCTTCCAGGCCATATTCAAAACAGAAATAAACTCCTGAGTCTCTTTTTCTAAGTTGCTGTGGACTTTTCTGTTTCTAAAATGGTGGGTTAACAATTTCTATTTTATTCTGGAACAAAATGTTTCTTGTCCTTTATCTCAAATGTTTTCTTGTCTTATTTAAATCCTGATGACTTGTACCTGTTGGAAGCATCTGAAAATTGAAATAAATATATATTTTTTTTAACAGTTAATGTACTTGAATTATCTTGTTTGTTGGCACTTTTAAGTTTCTACATTTGTATTTGACCTGTACCTGGGCTTCAGTTTGAGGTCTCTTTTAATGTAAAGCTGAATGTTTGCCTAAAATATGTGAAACAGTGAGGGTTTTTTTTAACTGTAAGAGTATCTAAATCACTTTTTTTCTTTACATAAATATCAAAACTTATGTATTTATTTGACATTTGACACAAATTTTGTACAAATGTTTTTACATAGCTCTAAGGCAGTGTAGTTATTTTAATGACTATATACTGGATTTTGGCTAAATACCTCAAGTAGAGTAACCAATGGTGCAGTTCCATTACAAAAATAAAATAAACTGTTAGTGCACAAGGGACTTGCTGACACATGGCATTGTCTGTGGTTTTTATATTGTTTTCAAAGTATGTGAGAAATACCCACATTTTATTTTGTCAATAGCAATTATTTTTGCGTCTGACTTTGATACTCCAAGCTCCTGCAGCACCCTCACAGCCATCTCACACCTTCCATCTGGCCATTGTAATGACTGTAATGAGAGGACAAACCTGGTTTTAATGACTGGGGTAGTTCAATTTGCATTAGAAAAACCTCAGTCTTAGCATTGTTCTAAGAACAGAGTTTTATCTGCTTCTTAATCTTGTCCTTTTTAATTTCACAGCTGCTGAGTTATAAACTTACTTTTCCCCAGCGGTTCTCTCGTAATTAATTGGCTCATTTTGTACATCAGCTTCTGCCTCCGGCTCCTGGACAACAGCAGCTGGTGGTAAACAGCCCTCCCTGGTTACTCCACAGCTGGGTTGTCACACACTGCTCTGGTCTTCAGGTTGTCCAAAGTCAGATGTTTGGGTTTGTGGTTTTTTTCCTGTCCGCAGTTTGACTGTAGTGCTTTTGTGTGGGCCGTGGGGTTTAGTACCAGGTGATGTATTTGAAACTACACGATTCGAGATTCACAACATTAGTTGGGAAAAATAGAATTGGTTAAAAAAGGTCAGCTTTTGAAACAAACAAACCTACCCCCCAGAACTACCCCTAAAGTTGAATGTCTTTCCTTCCATTAACAGTTGTTGGATGTATTTGTTTAGATTAAGAACAGGCCGGGTCAGCTTTTGAAACAAACAAACCTACCCCACAGAACTACCCCTAAAGTTGAATGCCTTTCCTTCTATTAACAGTTGTTGGATGTATTTTTTTATATTAAGAACAGGCCAGTACCAGACTAGTGTAGCAGCTGTTCCCCTCCCACCAAACGTGGCACATAAAGAATCATCTTTTTTCCAAAAAAGACCTCCCTTGCAGTATCAAGAAACCGTAATGGATTGGTGAAGAGCTGTTCTACCTCCTCTTACACCAAGTGTGGATCGTCCCCCAGCGCCTGCCCGGCCCCACAGCCCAGAGGGCACCTTCATCCCTGCACCCCCAGGTTCTGGCTGGGAGCAGCTGCTGCTGGAGGTTCTGTGCCACTTGTCACCACAGAACCCCCACCATCCACTCGGGTACGCGTCTTCAGAGACATCTAGAAGACAAACTGTTTTATCCCAGATTATCCTGTCTTTTGAAGACTAAAAGCAAATTAATCAGAATTAAACCTTTAATTCTGACTGGAAGCATTGAATATTGTCTGTTGAGACCTTGTTGGTAAGAAAACTTCTTAAACTGAGTTCTACTGCCTTGGGCCCAGCTCACTGTCACGTTAAGAGCTGCTCTTCTGTTTGACTGAGAGGGGAGGAAAAGTTTAGTCAGCGCTTTTGTGGTTTTAAAATTTGGGATTGGTTGAGTTAATACTCATTAACTAATCAGACAGCTTTTAGTTTTAGAGAAGTGCAAGCAATTCCATATGGTTCAAAATACCAACAAAGTCTACCCAAGCCATTCAGAATACGTTTTAATCTTTTTATTTATCAAAATACATACACTGAGTTCTACAAAACCCCATGTAACATTTTTATACTATGTTTTGGTGATTTATATTAAAAGGACATAAGTCTTCAGGCAGCATGAAGACCATTCTAAACAGACACGCCATCATTAGCTAAATGTATCTTCAATATGAAAAATGACCCTGTAATTATCAAAATTCACATAATTTAAATCTTTCATAAAAAAGATACAGATTTTTGTAATTAATTATAGTAGCAAACAAAGTGCTGTGCATTTACATTTTAAGAATTCCGACTGTTCCTATGTACCTCTCAAAATGGCGAAATGAAGTTCTCTTCTGGCGCTAGAGCAGGAATCAGAGCAGACTCCAACTCCTTCTGCTTCTGCAGGAGGCCCTGAAATAATGGAATATAAATGTGAATGTCTTCCTCGTGCAGCCTGAGCTAATAAAGTGTTATGACTTCATATTTTAGAACAATTTACTTGTTAATGGCTCAATGCTTTTTAAATACACAACTTAAAAAAAACCACAAGGATAAGTGACAATGGTCTTTTTTGTCAGAGTTTGTTGCAAGATCTTTCTCGAAGAGAAGGTCACAGGCTGCTGGCACAGCTCAGTACAGACCTAGTGCAGGCCCAGCAGGACCTACCAGAATTTAGACAGGATATTCCTGGTGGGACAGAAGGGGAGAGAGGGCCTGGAGAACGGGCTTCAGTCAGCAAAGGACCCTGCTGGACTTCACTTTGCATCCCTCCAAAAGCCGCAGCTGCCTGCTTTCAGTCCATCGATGAGTTGCTTTTTAACTATCAACAGTATCTGCTGTTTCTATTAACGGGTCACTTTTATTATATTCTGCATTTAGGAGCCTGTTACAACACAAAGTCATGCAATAAACTGCCCTAAGTCAACCCAGAGCTGAGGTGAGAAACAAGTAAGTAACGCTGAGAACTGGAACGAAGTCTATCGCGTGGTTTGCAAAAGTAATATAAAGGGCCTGGAAAAAAAAAGTAATATGTGAAATATCTACCCAGGGACAAGCCGTGAGGGCTTTCTCTGCATGTCCCTGGGCAGCCTGCTGGTGGCCAGCAAGATCCCTCAGCCATCGTAGGCTCCAGTGGTTCTCTTGCCTTAGAAGTAAGCTGCTGCGGTACGGACTGACTGGTGCTGGGGGTTTTGTCCTTTTTGCTAAACTTTGGCCCTTCTTCAAAAAGTTTCACTTGGGTTCAAAGTTTGGTTTCAGCGAGGAAGGCTGTTGATAGTTCCTATTACTGCTGTCACCTGGAATGGTGGAAGAGACCTGCTGTCTGGTACCAGATGCAGGGAGGGACTCTCCCTCCCTTTGGCAGAGGAAGGCCCCCAGCTGCCCTGTGAGCACCGGCCTCTTCTGCGGTTCAGCCCCAGCCCCGTTGTCTCCATCTCTCACTCTGGCTGGGTGTGTATTTCAAAGGCTAAAGACTGGGCAAACTACCTGTCAACTCCCCCAGACAAAAGAAGGCTAAAGAATCACCAACTATTTAGTGAAAAATAATAATAGAAAAAAAATATATATTGTGAAACTGTCAGTCCAATATATAAATGCATGTATATATAATTTAAAAAAAGAAAGACTAGATTATCTTCTGAAATAGAAAAGTAAACTCTGCTCTTTGTCTATATTTCACACAAAATACTGCATTACTTTTCCTTTCTCATTGAATTAACTGATGCAGAACAGGTGTCATCTGCAAGACCACACAATACTTAAGTATAGAGTTACACCTGGTAATGCCTAAATGCATTCTGCAGCTGGCAGGATACTTAAAAAGAACTCTACATGGTTTAAGTTAACTCTTTTTCAGAACCAAGGCCTATTGAGAAACTAATCTTAACATTAGATTTTAGCCACTGCTAGGACCTGATTATATACTATGTACCACAAGTGTCCTAAAGCTCCTAAGTTTGCCAACATGGATATTTTCCCCTTAAATCTCTTTAAATATCCATGACTTTTGTTCACCTCTGCAAGGACAAGGATCAAATTGTGCTTTGAAGCTGGCTTTGCTCTTAAACAAAATACCACTGGCAAATGAAGCCTGAATACAAAATACTCAACAGTTGTAGATATTTAACAAAAAATGTTAATAAGCACTGGGAAAGACTTGGTCCAGCCAAACCTATTTGGAAGCCATTAGAAACTGGCAACCTTTCAGTGTTCTTGGCTCACAACTTCTCTTAATACCTTGCAGAGAGCCAGACCCTTCATTTGCACAAGGAATTTACCTGTGCCTGAAGCAGGGTGTCTGCATGGCAGCACTTGTGTCTTTCTAAAGCACAGCAGGTAATTAGTAATTCAGTGTTAACTACTGGTAGCTTTATTTACTGAAGTCTGTCAGATTTTCTTCCCTTTATTTGCATTTTTTCTCCCTTAAGGCAAAGAAAAATAAACAGGGCTACCAGCAATGAAGTACTTCTAGTACAGAACCATTCAAACCAAGGGAAGATACTGATTCATCTTTATCTTTAGTGTTCCACAAGAACAAAATGCAAACCTAAAAGTAAATATGTTTTTTTTTTGTCTTGCAGTCCCCTGTCAGGCCATCTGGAAGCAGGAAACTGCGTGACTCTGCAGAGCTGTGGTGTGAACCTGCCCTGGGCACACCTCACTGCCCTCAGGTGAGCAGCACGTTCACTCTTGTCTTCAGAACTAAATGCCTGATGGTATATTTTCTGGTGTTCTGACTCCAGTCAGGAAAATATGGAACTTCACAGTTACCAGCTGTAATCTTTTGTGCTTCTTTAATTTACTGCCACCTGGATCCTTACAGTCAGTCTCCCCATACTCAGCATCCTCCGGGCAATCCTGCAGATCTGATCATTACCAGCTACTTACTAGGAATAGACCCATGTTTACAAACATACACAGCCTTTTGTCTCAGCAGCTCTTGTGTGTGTATTATTAAACTAAATTTAATTTTATATTCACTCACTAAATTTGGCTGACTGACAAATCCTGAATTTTACTTTTACATTCAGCAGCTCTTGTGTGTGTATTATTAAACTGAATTTAATTTTATATTCACTCACTAAATCTGGCTGACTGACAAATCCTGAATTTTACAAGTTAACAAAAGAAGAGCTATTTTGAAAGGATTTTATAACTTCAAATTTGCAATTTACAGTGTGTTTCCAGTACTGACCCATGATTACCACCACACTGACTCTTCTGCACCAGTCACACTACTGTGTCATGACTTGCTTTTCCATTAAAAATGCAGAATTGTCATTTTATTAATAAGGGTCTTAGTGTTTGTTAAAATACTGTTCTTTTTTCCCTTGGCATTGAAACCTTCTTACTATAAGCAACCCTAACTATCAAAACCTGGAGACCAAATAAAGCCATTCCTCTTTGTTCCAAGTTTCCTCAGATACTCCAGTGTTTCACAGCTCATCTAAGGACTAGGGAGTCCCTAGTCTCTCTCAGCGACTCCAAAGGTGGAAGTCATGCATGAAAAGCAAAATTAGTAATAGAGAGCAGAAGTAGAGGACAGGGCCCAAAGCTTATCGTATATGGTGGAAAAATGAATTAAAGACTAATGCTTCTGACTATGTAATAGTTTGCAATGCTCATTTTGACTTCAGTATGTATATATGCATACATGTTTACCCAATAACTTTTTGCTTACCTGGCGTAATTCTGACAATCCTTTGAGAATTGCCTGTTGTCTCTCTCTGATTTTAACTCCATCAGGATTTAGAAGAGGATCTCTAACATGATCAGAGCTGAAAATCTGTCGTGGCGTTTGGTAAGAATCTAAAAGTAAATGTATATCAAATCAGTTGACAATACTCTTCATCAATTTTGTTTTAATTCTGAAGCTGTAGATCTTCACAGCTTGTGAGAATCACATTTTGGTTGCTACTAGATTACGATCACTATCTTTAAGTCAAATAACCCTTAGATTCTTAAAGCCAAAGCTATATGCAATAATACCAGAGAAGCACAATCATACTTCACTAAACAGACAAAATAGATAAAAGAGTAATACATTTTGTTGCCTTTTTTGAATTTCTTTTAAACTTTTCTATGTTTGGGGTTTTTAAATAATATTATTATCGTTTGGTTGCACAGGCTTCTGTACAGTGCTGTGACACACGCGGGTAACAGCAATATTCAGTAAAAATAAATACCAAATTAAATAAATCGTAGCACATCAAACTAAATCATTGTAACATCTCTTCTACATTAATCTATTCACAATACATTTCAGTACCGTTAAACTGTTGATACTGAGGGTCATGTGTTGAAGGTCTTGTCACTGGTGCATCTGGGTCAAGACAATAAACTTCATTAGTTCGAACGTAGGGAACGAACTGCGAAGAGGGAGGTCTGGCCTCTGCAGCGGGAGGAGGGGAGCTCCTCTGCTCCACAGCCCTCCTGCCATTTCTCTCTCTTCTGCTGTTGTTATGCATCAGGAAATTAGAAGCATGGATCTGTTTTTGTTGTGCTTGGTGTAATCTGTTCTTAACTGCTGGAACAGGTGGTGATTCAGATCTGTATGAAACAACTTCAGTTAAAAAAAAAATCCAAAACCGAACAACACTTAATAATGTGATTAATTTTCTCAAACAGTAGAGACAAAGAATCCTCAGAGGAGAGGACTGCTCATTTACTCTGTCTGGTCTTGTGTATTTTTAATAGTAGACAATTAGATGCATCTAAATTCTTTTAAAAAACATTAATAATCAGGAAAGGATATATATGTCAGTACTAATGTATTTATACATTTCATTGATGCAGAGTATTGACATACCTTTCTGCATTCAAATGATTCTTACGTAATTGTTCTTCCTAGGAGAAAACCAAAACCACAAAATTAAAATACAAAGCTCCATGTTTCTTGTATTGAAAGCTGTCATTTTTCAAGACGAGTTTGTTCTGAAATTCCAAAAGGACTGTTTGCCCTGAGTTCAAGATAAAGATATTTATCACAGACTTGCATTAAAGACGCTTGTAGTGTCTGTGAACTGAAATAAACAAATTACAGGAGGATATGCCTCAATTTTCTGTCTTTGACAGCTCTAGGCACTATCAAAAATACTGTAGATGTTTTCCAATGACCTTGGAAAGCTGCATTTATAAATCTGAAAGGTTCAAGCCAAGATAATCATTATTAAAGGAAAGGTCATGTTTCTAGATACAGTCAGTAGAAGTCTTCTATTTAAATGAAAAATATTAACATATCCCCTGCCTCCTACGGTATCAGACAGCACTTACTTATGTTAAAATTCACTGCCTCATTTATCAGGTACAAAATTCTTTAACCCTTCAATAACAGAAGCACAAGACTTAGATTTACCATTAATCTCAAACAAACCAATACCTCAGTTTAACAAATTAATAAATCTTTAAAGATACCTATGGAAACAGTTACATATTGTCACATTTATTTATTTTTTTAAATATCCACAGCTTCTAAAATATGTGTATGTTACCACAGTAAATGAATGGCTAAACCAGAATTAAGCAGCCAACTTTTCTAGATCAGAGTTTGTTCTATTGGAAGGTGTGAGAAAGTGAGGTGTTCAGGCAAACATCTACATCTACAAACGTGCAAACAGCGAGCAAGCAAGAGAGAGAGGGAGAGAGAGAGAGAAAAGGCACAAATATATTTGATAGTATTTTCTTTAGATGAATTGTTTTTTTTCCCCCCAGACACAAGCTATACCAATACACACTTACTGCAAATGGAGAAGAAATGACTCCACTAAGAAGGATGCATTTTTATGACAACAGAGTACATCCTCAGTAACCCATATTCTTTGCAGAAATAAGAATTGCTTTCTTGAACAGGTACTCCTGTACCCCAACCATCACCAAAACATAGTGACTGAGCAAAAAAGAGCACGTCAGTTTTGTTGTTCTGTCCCACACACTGCTTTCCATCAAGCTCCCTCTTTACAAAATAAATCAGTTGTAGTGAATAAATGAAAAAGAATAAACACTTTGGAAGACTGAAGTAACAGTAAAGCTGAGTCACAAAATCTGAATATATTCTGATCATGAAGAGTGAAAGAGCACTGTAATACCATGCTTTGCACAAAGTGTAGTGTGAGAAACAGGCTGAATTTTGCTTCAGCTAATTGATATATCATTTTTTTCTTTTCTCTGTTAGCATGTCTGTATTGATAAAGGTAGTTCAGTTATAGTGGAGTCTTATCCCTTGTGTCCAACTGATCCTTGGAGGCGCCTTGGGGCTGTCCAGGGGTTCCTGATTGTGAAGTGTTATCTAGGTGAAGGCTAACCAAAAATTGGTGGCAGACTGGTAAGTGGACAACAGACAGTGGAGACTGATAAGTGGACAATGGACGGTGAAGACTGATAAGTGGACAACAGACAGTGGAGACTGATAAGTGGACGAAGGCCACCTGGAGGGTAACTAATGAAGATATGACCACCAGAGTACTTGTAACCACTAATATTGGACAGCAGGTGATGGCAAACAGATAGTGGGGTGTTTAGAATAATAATTTTGTAGAACAGATATATGTGCTTTATCTATAATAGGTTAGGCCGTCGGGAAGAATGTGAGCTCCAACTTCTCAGCCAATGAGAAGGGAGACAGTAACTCAGGCGCCTGGGATAAGGAGTATAAAGATACCTAAGAAACCAAAAGGGCGTGTGCCTCTACTTTGAGATGCACCCAATTCAGCGCTGTTTCATATAATGAATTTCTATACCTTTGCTTTGGCAACTTTGTCCTCTTTAAATTCTAGGTGTGAGCCGGCGTTTCTCACAGTAGTAATAGGAAAGTTCTCAATGCTTGAGTTACATCACTGAATTCCCATCCAGGCAAACCATGTAGAACAAGAGTCTTAAAAATACACATCATCATTGCTAAAGAACAAATAGTTACCTTTCTCGTTCTGTGTCCCCTGTTCTTCACGTTTATTTCTTCACGAGGTGAAGGAGACCTGTCTGAATAACCACCCTTTTTTAGGCAGAGATTCCCAGGGGTGTTTTTTTCTACCAACTGAAGCAGCTCCATTTGTCGTCTTAATTTGTTTTCTTCCCTTTGTTTTTGTAGCTGTTTCGGGTATCTTTCTGATGCTGGAATGTATCTTTTCCCAGGCTTGTTGATGTTCCAATCAGGTCTTTTGCTGTACTTTTCTGAAGGCTTAATTTGTCTTTCTCTTCTTGCATACTGTTCATATAGATCATCCGAAATGCCACCGCTCTCTTTTCCTGAAATTTTATTCTTATCTATATACTGCGTTTCCTTCTGGTATGTTTTCCTGCTGGAGGTTTCTTTATATTCTATGGAGACATCAGGTGATCCGCAACACACAGTTCTTTCCTCGGCTGACTCGGTGTATGCTGAAGTATTGAAGTAATCTAAAAAAAAATAATACTATATTTTAACTCCAAGTCTAAGATATTCAAACTACTTGTTTGATTTTTGTATGCCTGTCCAACTACCATTATTGATTTTATTCAAAAGTTGGTTGTTACAGTTTTTATAATGTTTTTTATTCTTTTTGATGTGGAAGATAGATAGGAGCAGTAGAAGCAAACTCAGTAAGAAGGGAAAAAAGACTGGAGAATGAAACCCAAGTAATTGTAAAAGCAAAATTTAAGTAAAATGAAGCTACATTATTTTAAAATGTAGAACTCTGTTTCTGTCACGGTACCCAATGGTAAGGTGCAAAATACAGCTTCTGTTTAGTTTTTCATCATGCTGGTGGTTTGATCATATTCACAGTGCTACTGGGAATGACTTACTTTCCTAATCCTTGTGTTCCAATGGCAATATTTTGTTCAATTTTTATATTACTAACAATCCAGAAAACATTGTTTAATGTGTCAGCACTCCAAATTCACAGAGAAATTTCTACCAGCACTGTCAAAACCAGAAATATTAATTGTTGCTTAAGCAAATAAAAATAAAATAAAGTTTCTGCTTCACAAGGGACAGGAAGCTGATAAATTTCTAAATACAAGGCATAAAGTGACTGTAAGTTTCCAGTGAATCTACTCAGTCACACCTCATCTACAACGTTAATAAATGCAGACCAAGTTTGATCTGGGGTTTTAATGGTGTGATACAATATCCACATAAAGACTGGAAAGTGTTCTATCTAGATGGACCCACAATCCTGTCTGGCTATTTAGTAAGAATTTTCAAATGTTTTTCTAAGCATTTTCCAATGAGTCTAGTTTTCTAATTCAAGAATTATTGACGATGCTTTTGCCAATATTTTCAAGGATTCATTAGGAACCAAACCCTGCTTGATACAAAACCACATTCCATAAACCTGTGAACATTCACACTGATGACTATTACAAATACATGTTTAAATGCCTCAATAAATGTAGTCCTACACAGCTTGTGACCATGACTCTAAGTCAACGCTGTATTTCAGTCTTTGTGATTTGAATCCGTAACTGGTAAGTAACAACTACACAGACATATCACTTATTTAGAAGAATACTGTGGTATACTGTAATATTCCAACATGCCTGTGTCTGTCCAAGTATTTCTTTCTAGTTTTATTCCATTCTGAGTGACAGTGTCACAATCTGCACTCTTTCTTGAGGTACAACAGAGTAATTCTACTGAGGGGCTGCATACCTGTCTGTACAGCAGTGTCCTTCCGAGGAGAAGTCTGCTGATTAACGTGGCTCTTAATGTCATCAGAGAAATTATGACTTTGATATGGAATGTCAGTACTACAATTTTCAAATTCTGCATCACCTAGAAAAAAGTAAGTAAAACAGTTCAATTTAGTAATGTATGTTCTATTTAAACCATGCTATCAAGTTATCAGACTATTGTGGTTTAGAACTCAAAGCAAGCCTGAGAACTATGGTTCAGATCCCAATACTCTCCCTTTTTCACTGGAAATCTAATCGACAGCACGTAGGTCTGAAGGTGCCCTATGCATTCCTGATAGTATCTTTATATTTATTCCTTTATGTAAGAGAGTATTTGAAGCTTACTAAAATACAGTGTTCTCCATATTAGTTAACACTGATTTTTTTTTTTTGTAAGGTAAATAAGCTGAAATGAAATTTGGTTTGTGAAGCAAGGGAGCAATTTCTGACCCAAATGCAGATGGGAAAAAAAACCAAACTACCACCAACTTGCACACGAACAGCAAAGGAATAGGGAAAGTGAATATGAAAAGACTTGTACTTGCCACCACAAAGATTCTTCTGAAGTTTTGAAATGTCATGTCCCTTCTGAGCCAACTCTCGAATGCGTTGTTCTTGTTTTAATCTCTGTGCTAATTCTTGAGCTTTCTGCATTGTCTGATAAAGCTCATTCGTTTTTAGAGTGACAAGTTCCTTAAAAAAAAGATAAAGTAAATATACATGATAATTTCTCTCTATTAGAGAAAGATCACTGTACCAGTGTTTTACCAGTTTGTTCTAGCATCTACAGTTGGTTGCTAAATGTTTCTGTCCAGAAAATGCAGAGAAACCTTGGAGCCATATTTCTGCAGGTTTTAGAGGAGGATGTGTTTTTGGAATCACCCTGTCTTATGACATCATGGAATTTTGCTACTGTTCCAAATCTGAAGCAAACAGTAATAGCTGCTACTGTGCCAAAAGGAGGAATAAAACATCAAAGCTATTAACCTTCTACAGACTCTTCTGTAACAGGTAAGAATGTAAACAAATATAAAATATGTACTTACCAAAGGGCAGAATGTTACTTTTGACTTAACTTTTATATGAAAGGAGTGAGTAAAGCTCAGCAATAGTTAATGAGTGCTCTAGAATATGAATGACTTTTAAAGTGACTTTTCCAGAATATATTATGAAAAGTCTTTAATCCAGAGCAAAAGCACTGGATCCAGTCAGATAAAGTTCATGGTACTGAAGCATCTTAAAGGTATCAAGTTACCAATAATAATAATTGGATCACACACTTCAACGAATTTTTTTTAAGATGTGCATTTTAAAATGCCTGTTTCTGCATTATTTAGAACTATTATTCCATTTTTGCCATTTCTTATCCATTTCTCTTCCTAGAAAGGCCCTAGTCCAAAAGAAAGAACCTGCCTTAAATTTGTATGGTGGTGTAAGTTTATTGAGGAAACAGATTTTGGTTTCAAATGTCTAAATTTCAGATAGTTTTAATTTTCCAGATGATGAGTCAACACCATTTTGAAGGTGAAGAACAAGAACCATTTTTGTCTAAACCCAGTATTATTAAAGACTATCTGCACTAAAGAAAATGCAACCCCTCACCTCCTTTTGTTTTTGTTTCAGCATATCTTCTTCAAACTGTTTCTGCATTTGTTCTTTTTCTCGCGCTAGGCGCTGTTCTTCCTCTCGTTCTTCCCATCTTCTCTGCTCTTCTTCCAGTTGTTTCTTCTTCCGTTTTTCTTCTACTTGAGCCATTATTGCTTTCTAGTAATATCAGAAAAAAAAAAAAGGAAAATGAAAAGATCTAACTTTAAAGGTATATGAGCTATATATTCATATACTTCCATATACATGCATAATAATTGGATCTGGACAAATGAAAAAAAAAGATCAACTACCAGCCCAATAAAGCAGTTTGAAATACTCAGAGACAAGAAGTGCTTTTGATTTTCTTGTGAGGAAACATTTTTACCTTCATACTGTAAGCTAGTATTTCCATTTAGCAGAATAACAGTTTGACCAGAACAGGCTTGTTACATTTATACTAAGACTTCTTTAGGCTGTGCTAGAGACATGCAGGTATATGTTCAGTTTGAGTGCCACAGAAGTAATGTAAATGACAGGAAAGTAGAGAAAAGTTTAAAGATTCGTGGAGTGGGTACCTGTAAGTATCAGTCCTCCTGATGACAGTGGAGACTGAAGAAAAATGCAGACAAACCTACTAGAGCTCTAAAGACTGCATTGTACATTTTCTGAGGCAAGGATTCAGTTACAGAAATACAATCATCTCTGTACAAATATTAAAAGAAAACAGTAGGGTCTAACTGAATGAAATACCATTAAACAACTGTAAACATGTAATCTGAAGCATAAAAGTCAAGTACCTCACTGGATTCTGGTATTAGATCTCATGCTTTATTCATGTGACAACACTACCTTTCATCCTTTCTTATTAAAATAGTGTTAGTGAAACAGAAGTCTACCTGATGTTCTAACTGTTTCTGCCGCCGCCTGTCTCTCTCTTCAATCTGTGCAGGGTCCAGGAGAGCTGTCATTGAACGGAGAAAGCTATGAACAAAGAAACATGTAAATATTTTTAATCATAAGAAGATAATCCTAAAGCCTTTCTTAATTACAGCCAATTAGATTTGAAGTAATATTTTTGTACTGTTATCCCATGGTATTAATTTACAATTATGAAATTCATTTTAGTAAGGAGCAAACTGTGTCTATTTGCAGTAAATGTTGTTAATGAACAATGCAAGCATTTGTGTCTTTCAAAAGTGAAACAACAGGTATTTCTGAAAAAAGCAAAAGCCAAATGAATAAGATCCAAAGATTAGATTTAAAGAATGTTGCCTGGTTTTTTTTTTTTTTTTTCCGAGGAGGTTATCAGAAATGTACAGGCTGGGAAGACAGTTAACCTTACAAAGCTCACTCACCTGACTTTCTGACTGTGTTCCAAAGCACTGTTTTTAGCAGCTTTTTCTGCATTTCCCACCTTTGAGGGCATGAGGTTGCCTAAAGCTGCAGGTGAAAAAGGGTGAATAAAAGCAGTCAGCTCCTGAGGGTCAGGTGACAGGCAAAGACTTTCAGGCTGCTTTTTGTACATTCCATTTAAGGGGTGTTGTGCATTAGCATTAAGGTGGTTCTTTAAAGAATCAAAATGCATTGCCCATCTGTCATGCTCTTCAGCCTAAATAAATATGAAGCAACAAAAAAATGGAAATGCGCTCAATTACACCATTTCTATAAAGTATGGTTAACAAAACAGACAACACACAGTTTGTACAAACAGAAACATTTGGAACGCTGTGTTACAGGGCTACAATACAGACAGTAGTTCAAAATGGGAAAACAGAAGTCTCTCTGTTGCTTAAATGCCAGCTCAGATCAGAAATTATACTGCTGATCTGTATACTTGGTCAGCAAATTCATATTGCTACGATATTTTCAGGGAAAAAAACCCAAAAATTAGAAATTGAAAAAAAAAACAATTGAAAAATAAAAGTTAAGATGGATTTAGGCTTTTTGGTACTCATTTTTCAATTCTTATTACTTTTCCATTCCATAATCTTTCTAATAGTACTGGGAACTGCTTGGTTGAGAGGTGAGTACCCTGTCTGCCCTGCCATACTCTTCTCCCATATTCTCTCTCTAGTAACAAGTGTCATCTTTTACACTGTCCTACATTTACCCCCCTCCATTTCAATTCTAGCAGAATTAACGTGCTTTGTGCAGAGAGATGAATCTCTAACTTCCCATTTTCAGCTAGACAGGCCCATTATAAAGCAAAGTTTCTTCCACCTGTAGCAGCCACCACTGCTATCCTAGCAAAGTCTGCTGTAGATGTGACATACTGGGTTTAAGTCTCTCTTCTGTGCCAACCAGACTTATCTTTTTGGTTCAGTGTTGGCAACTGAGACATTCCAATATATCACTAATAAAAGATTTTTACCTAAGGGGGCTTTGGTTTTGCTGTAGGTACTAAGGTTTTCTCTTCTGACTAAAAGCAGAACTGTTTCCCTCAGAATGGCTGCCTCAAAACTTGCATTCAGCAGGAAAAAACCTAACATAATCTAATCTAATAAAATTTCTGGGAATCATTTCCTTAAACAAAAATTCTCTTCTGTCAGAAAAGTTTCACACCTATTTTAAATGAAGCAAGAAAATCATAGTCCAAATAATGAGAATCCAAATTATTCTTCCTCCTATTCCCTGAGTTTTGTTCCCTTTGAATACTCTATGATGTAGAAGCAGATCAGAGTAGTTGGAAAATCTATTTTATTCTTATGCAAGTCTGTGGTGCAATATGCAGAAGGGTTGAGAGTATAACACAAGACCTGAAAAAAAGATGTTGAAGAAAACGAGATTAAGTGCAATTTAACTTCCTTTCAAAAAGAGGCTGGAAGTGAGATTGCTGCCAGGTAACTCACTGGTGACTGCAACCATCTTCCCATGGCACAGCTATCAAATTAAAAACCAAGGCAGCTAATAAAGAACTGTTCACAGCTGTGTTCCCTTCACAGTTAAAAAGCTCAATTTGCAAAGGAAATCTGATTCCTTCAACAACTCAGGAAATGAAGAGCCATGTATTGTGTGTAGGTATGTAACCAACCTTGGCAACAGGGGGTTTCTTTTGGAAGGTGGGTAGAAAAGCTCTCTCCTAGTACTACAAACTGTAGAATTAAAATGAAGAATTGCTGTCTAGGAATTGTGTAATTGCTATAAATGCTTCAGTTGAGAGTAAAAACTGTAGCCTTTTAATCCAGAAGGCCACAGACTGAATATTCATATCAATCAAGTTTTGATAACTAAGATTCTTGTTCACTAATGATACAGAACAGCTCATTATATGAAAAAATCTTATGCATAGTGAAAAAAATAATTCTGGGATTAAAGCTGTGCACAGTAATTTGGAAAATGGGATTCTAGCAGTAGTACAACTTCACTGCATGTTTCTTCACTTCAAAAGACAGCATCTTTGGAAGAGTGTGTCAGTAGCAGGCTGTATAAAAATGCAGAGTGTTCCACTGGCTTTAAAGCTACTAACATAGTACAAATAGTAACATGTAAAGGACAGAAGTCAGCTTCTATATGAAGAACCTCCAAGGTAAAAGAGATATTGACCACATTTGCCAATAGTGGTAGTATTAAAAGTCTCTTTAGGTACTCCACCTGCAAAGCAATTATATCGGCCACAGTTTCTGTCTAGATCCAACATAAGAGACCTACATTCAACAGCGTGGAAAAACCAAAGGGTAAAAAAGGTAAGGCTATTTTCTTCAATACTTTTTGGTGTATGAGTGTTTAAAAAAAGTTTCAGAGGAGCGTAAGTTTATGTGTATATATGTGTATCAAAAGAATATTTCTAGAAACAGAATTTGAACACCACTGTGATGCACTGTATTTGTCTAAAACTTTTCTTCTCTTTTCTCATCTCCTTTGATAATCTACAGAAAATGTCCTTTTTACTGTCTGGCCAGTGTCTCTACAACACCTTCCAAACCCTAGTGCTTTCACACAACAGTGGGAAAGAAAAAAAAGCATAGTAATATCAGTGTTTTCATCTCTGCAGCAAGCACTCTAACACATGACACCAGACACATGGCAGTCTGTTCTCTGCCACGGAAATGCTGGGACAGCTACTGGCTGAATGTTCAGTTAGACTCTCCTATGGACTTACAGTGAAAACCTGGATGTGCTGCAGGTAATCACATCTTTGTCTCTGCTTCATTAGGTCTACAATTTCATTTTTTATTTCTTAGAACAAAAGTGGAGAGAAAAACTTCTCTTATTCCAAAAAGTCCCTCTAGACCACAGATACCTTTGATAAATTAAGTTTTTCTTCTATTTTTCGTAACTTAGTTTCTTCCTTCTGTTTGTCCAGCTCTTCAAGCCACTTCTTCTGTTGCTCATGCTTCAAAGCACTAAAAGGTCGTTCCTGTGGCACAGCTTCCTGAAATAAGAGAAGTGCTAGTCTCTTCCCTGTACAAAAAAATCAGTACTTTGTCTAGCCACATAATAATGGCCTGGCAGAAACCTTTACCTTCAGTTGCTAGGCGTAACTGGGCTGTTCTATTGCGCAAAAAACGAATGTAAGTTTGTAACTGTATCAAGTGTCTGCTCCATGAAAATGCTTCAGTTCTTACAAAGATGTTAAATAAGCCAGTCCTTGACTACCATTCTAACTTGTACCATCAGCCTCTCGCTCCAAAAAACCTTACTTGCATGTATCATGAATAAAAATCCCTTCCTTTTCCAATGGTTCACTGCTCAGTCTGTGTTCCAGGTAGATTCAGTACCATGATCTAATTCGTACTGATCTGTCTCAAGTAAATTCTAGATACCATCTTCTGTTCCTGCTTCTTTATGGATACCTGTATTATTTAATGAACTCCAGTGGCACTGAGAACTTTCGATGTTACCTGATAAAACCCACTCTCAATCAGTGCCTGCTAGCAGTAACTCACAAACTACTTCCTGAACCTTATGCCAGCAATATATTTTTTTAAAGTCTTCTATTTCTGAGAGGTTCCCACTTCTCTATTTCTTTAACACATACTTAAAAGCTAAGCAACACTTCGGCTCACACCTCTAGTACTGTTCCTGACATCAGCCTTGAAAATGCTCAGTCTTCAAAGAATCAATAGTTTGATAAACGTTCATTCAGCCACAGGTCTTTAGACGGAGCACAAAAGGTCTACTGAATTTTTCTGGTTTGAAAGAACTACGGAAGATACACATCTGTTGTCAATAAGTAAGTAAAGACACCTGGCATGCAATTTAAAATCTTACCCCTAAAAAAAATGCAGTGCAATAAGAACTGAAATCAGACGACTGCCCAGCTGGAGCACTTGAAACATTCAGTGGAACCTGATTGGCCTCGGCTGTGAAAGCAGCTGTACAGACACAGTTCTCCTCAGTGGTAATAATCGAATCAGCTGGAAACACTGTCTGCAAATAAAGTGACCACTGTTGTTTAAGGCTTGATATATTTAGCTCACCTGTTTTGTTTGTATTAAATGGCCTTTAACATATAATAAACAAGTAAATTGTACTTCTAGAAGCTGCTATTCATTAAAGCTTCAGCCAAAACTTTTAACTAAGCATCTCATATCCAGTATTTCTTAATTATGTAGATTGAAACAAATTCTTATGGGGCAGAGTGGTAACTGTTCTAGGAATGACAAATATGCCACAAAAAAAGCAATTATGATCCTAACTTCTGTTTAATAGCCATCAATTTCACTGGAGAAGCAGTCTCATCTGAGTATAATACATTTATCTGACAAAGCATTTTCAGAGCGACAGCTGACTTTGAAAAAGACAGGTTAAAGTCAAATTGCTATGCTTATTATGTAAGCAATCAAATATATGTGAGAGCTCACGAACAATGTAAATAATTACACAACCAGGAATTCCTCAAAACAAAACTGGAAATGATTTATACCTTTTAATTAGGAACCAACATGGAACGGCAGTAATGGGTTGTTCATGCTACAAAGATCTTTATTTGTGAAGTTACAAATTGGAGCAATAGGCAAGTGTGAAACAGTTGCTGCAATTAATTCTATGCAATATCTTAAAGAGAGCACTGAGATTGGATTCTACTGGTTACATATAGAAAAGAAAATCTTCCATGAATTACAAGTTGAACAGTTCTGAAACAGTGCTGTGAAAACTGTGTGCTCTTTAGTGTTTATCGATAGCCTTACCTTATCTGGGTCAGCTGTTTCCACTTTCTCTTTATGGCCTTTATTATTGCCAGGTTTTGCCCAGAAATAACCCAGCTCTCCCTCCAAAGTTTCTTTCAGTTTCTTCTTCAGTGCTACCTGTTCGTCTTCAAAAAAAACCACAAACTCTAGTAAGAATTCCTAATACAGACATGTAGCAGTTGTTTGTTAAAAAAAAAAAAGCTGCAATGCAAGCCTATCCTGTAATTTTGATTGTAAAATGGATTACAAAAGTAAGTCAGTGTTGTTTGACCAATCAGTCTCAATGTGACTTTGCTCTTAAGAGGATGGTGGGTGAGTCAGTGCCCAGAGATGTAGAGGTAATTGGGGAATCTCTGAGAAGACTAGGAAACAATGGAAGCTTAACAGTGTTTCTGGGGAAGAGGAAAAACTAACAAATAACAAATGTATAAATTCTCCTCATTTCATTATACCAGTCTTGGACTACTGTAATATTATTGATACCAATGGAGCTATACATGGAAGCTACTGACAATGCAAAATTGAACCCTGAAACCAGATAGTCTACACCCCAGTTCAAAACAAAAACCAACACTCCTGCACATGAATCCTAAAAAACTTAATTTGTCAGAGAGAATTTACTACTGCATTAAACATTTTTATTTTTCTACAGGGATTCCCTTTGGTGATGGGGTAGGATTGCAAACTGTTTCAAGTTCAAATTGCAATCTGATATATTCAGTCAGGCTTGTAGATTAGGGTGACGCTCTTCCCATTAAACAAGAAAAGAATCTGTTAATGATAATGGCTATCAACTACTGACGGACTGTGACAAAGTCAATGGCAAGTAATTCCGAAAATACGAAGCATAACTGAATATATTTATTTGTGATAATGTTTATTTGCTTAAGAAGCATTCTTGCAAGAAGTTTGAGATAATCTTTGCATAAGATTTTGAAATTCAAGAATCCCCCTCTGTCTTGGAGACTAATAAAACTACATACTTAGCAATTTGTAGCAACTGCACTGATAGAAGTAAATTTAAAAGAGTGTAAGGAACACAGTTTCTTGGCATTCCGAGTGTAATTCAATTTATGATCAGACATATATGCTGTATATCAGAAGTACCTAATTCCTTCTTCCATTGGGTCTTTCTAAATTCTAATAAGGCTTTCTCCCCTTCTCTTTCACCCAAGGTACTAAACATGTCGGCAGGCTTCCACGAATCCTTTCTATAAAAAAGAGAGGAAAAAAAAAAATTTTACCTAAAAAAACTAGTATGTTTATTTTAAAGGTAACTTTTAAATTAATATTTATAAATATTCTTACTGTGATTAAGAATTACAACATGAATCCTTATTGGAGATAAAATTTTTGTAGACAACACCATGGATCTACGTACATAACTGGCTGTGGATGTGCTTCTTGTTTCCCGCTTGAATCAGAGTTAACTTCCTCTGGAACAGGTGAAACTTCACAAGCTTTTTGGAGCAACACTATAGTGTTTTCCTCTGACACCTCATTAGTAGCTATGGTAGAATAGAAAAATATACACAAATATATATATGACCATTACAATTTCTTCAGCATTGAGTAAATTCTTTAAGAACAGTAGAAATCCACAAATTCCCCACTATTTAACAAAACTGTTTTCAGCCCTGTTTCTATAGTTAAGGCACCTTAAGTTTTAGTGTTAAAGGTTATTTTAGAATGCTTGACTTGGCGTAAACACTATTCTTAGCTAAGAGCTCAGACTTTGGGACTCTAAGTACTGAATTGCAGTGTGTCTTGTTCTTGGTGGCAAAGAGCTGACCACCGCCATAGGCCCGCAAAGAGGAGTAAGGATGTAATACCAGAATATACGCAATGGTTCTTATGCTTCTTAGTAAAAATTGAAATAAAAGCACTACTGACAAAACTATCACAGTCAGGGAAAAAGATACATTTACATCTTGGGCCAGAGGAAAATGGCATTACTGCTCTTGAGACACATAGCAAGACCTAAACTTCACAAAATCAGAAAGGCCTGTCTCTAAGGTATTCCTTTTTCTCAAACTCCTAATGGTAATGGTACAGTGCAGTTCTGGTTTTCCTCCCAATGTAAAATAGTTCCTTTTTTTGCATGAAATATTGACAGAATTGCTTGCTGTTTTACTCTTCAAAGCACTGGAATACTTACAAGCATTCCTTAGCTTTTACTGTTAAAATTATCAAATGCTTGATTCCTAACAGTAACAGGCAATTTCACATCCATAATAGCAAACAGTATTTTCTCTGAGACCATTCAACATAAGAGTAACAACTCTTCACTGCAAATAGACTTAAATTATGAATTCAAAGTTAAAGAGTAATGTTTTGCTCTGTTTCCATGAAACTAACTTATTCAACTATTACCATCTTACCCATTTCCTCTTGCTTTTCATTATGAGTCTCAGAGATATTTCTGGTTCCATCTTTTACAGTCATCAAAATCTGTTGAAGCTGTTCTTGTGTTAAACACACCAAACTTCTTAGGTCTTCAGCTGATACATGTGGGTTTTGGGGTTTCTGTTTACATTTTTTAACAACATTACGATTCTCTGAATCAGGATATCTGTTTGTGCTATCTCTTTGGAAAATCAAAGAGTGATCTTTAGTTGCAGCTTCATGTGAGGAGTGTTTAATAACTTGCAGTTTTTCGCCTTTTGCCATCGACAAGCTTGATTCACTCCTTGGTTTTGTTAAGTCTTCCTGCTTGATACAAGCATTTTGTGCTGACCTCAGAACATGCCCAGTGTGCCTTATTCTCAGTGCCTGTTTAGGTGCTCTGGCTTTATTACCCATCTGTTAAAGCAATAAAATTTCACCATATATTAAATAAGGAAATAAATTCGCATGGGTAACAAACAGAAACAAAATTGAAGCAACAAGTAAGTAGACACTAACTCAGTATAAACTAATTAAATATCTTCATAAGTACTAGGAATACCTTGGAAGAGAATACCACTCCTAAATTTAACTATTTAAAAATAACAGTATGAAAAATAACTTTAGGTAGCATGACATTTGAAAGAATTAATAAACATTATTTCTGCTTTTCTTTAGCATTTCTGCAGCCTGGCTTTAAACAGGCGTATGTTTTTACCATACAGCCAGTATTGTTTCAGTCTTGATTTTTCTGTTCTGTACTAAAGTTTTATAATTTTCAAGGTCCTTGATGTACACTTGTAATTATCTCCCATGTATTGAGACCATTTTCTGCTCTCTTTCCTTCCCCAACCCAGTGCATTCCAGTTTACTTGAGACAGAGGCAACCTGTATCACTGAACTGGAACTTAAACACACTTCAGATCCCTATTTTACCAGAATCCCTTTAAGGTCTCTGAAAGTTCTGATTTAGATGATTCCCTGTGCTGCTGTAACTTCTTGGCAAAGTAAACTAATGCATTTTGCAAAAGTAAAAGTAGTCATTAAACTTGAAATTCATCCTTTTTAACAGCTATTATGAACCTGAGAAATCAGAATCATAGAATATCCCAAGTTAGAAGGGTCTCATATGTACATATTTATCTTTCATAAATATTGATTACAAGAATTTAGACAGTTCAAATGTGTTCCTACATTTCCGTGTTAAAAAATAACTAATTAATTTGTGTGCTCTAACCAAAAAAACAATTTTTCCACTCACCTTCACTGCAGGCTTTGATTTATCTTTTGGAAAACAAACACAAACATATGAGAGAAGTATTTAATAACAACTTCCTCCTGCAAAACAATCTTGAAAAATTAGTAAACTGTAAGGTGGGGGGAACTTTCCCTGTAACATCTGCCCCAAATGTATTATTTTACTTTTTTTTTTTTTTTAATTTCAGTATACACACTTCAAAAGCATGTTGGAAAAAAAGCAAATATATTCTAGTAATTATTTCTAGTTTTACATAGATCTAATAAAATTATTGTGTCAGTCTGATCCTCCTCTGCTATTCATTCTGTTTCCTACAGCCCTGAGGTAATGGCTTATTTTTAATTGTTTATTTATTGTTATTTTTCAGTTCACTTTCTGTGTCACATCCTTCCAGGATAGTCCCTGCATCTTACCACATGATGTTATCTGTCTCTATTGCTGACAGCCCAAAGAAACAACACTTGCATAATCACACCATCCTCACCTATCTCCTGAAATACTCCTCAGTTTTTTAACCCAAATCCTAGAGGATGCATAGAGGTGTAGTGGTCTCAAAAAGAATAAAGTACTATGTTTAATATTATACTTCTTAAGAATATTATAATATTGATTAATAGAGGGAATGTGGTACTTGACGTAAGAAATCCTGTACGTATGGCTAATGGAAAAGGGAGAAAATATAGTAGGAATGATATTTTAGTGGAACACATCTGTTGGAAACAAGGCTTCTTCAGCTGCACTACGCAGTTACTGCTCTGGAAGTGGCTGTTGCACTGGTAGCACCAACACCTTTTTTTTTGCGTTATCAATTAAAGACACTTTTAATAGTGGGGTTTTGCAGACTTAAAGAATAGCTTCCAACCTAGATGAGCGTATTAAAACTTGGGAGTATGCTGAATTGTTGTCCTGCAGAGACAAGCATTAAAGCCTGAAACATCTTGAGAGTGATCCAGTAGTAAGGGTGTTGTGTGGTCGTGTTTATCACTGGGTTCTCAACACTCCTCTGAGTAGGTAAAAGTTGCTTTTTGAGTTCTTTCTGGCCGTTCAGAAATCAAATAAAGTGGGATTCTATGTGCTATGCAAACCCCACTTCTTGTTGGAAAGGAGAAAAACATAAATAGGGTCTTTGCAATCATAGTGAGGAGATACATAATTTGGAACTCCAAAATGCCGCTCGTGGGTTTTTTGAAAAAAACATCTTGAGGAGTAGTTTAGGCTACTACAGAAGTCCTTAAGACTGTGAGCAGTATTTGACAGTGCAGAAAACTGAAATTCAGAAGTAATACAACTTGATGCAATTTTTGAAACAATTCAATCTGAGGATGTGCTGTTTGTATCAGTTGCATAAACGTGTTAATTCCTGGAGAAGACTGCTTGTTCCAGGCTAGTTCAAAGTCAAAGGTAATGCTTTATCTTCGAGCACTCTGGAACGGACACTGGCCCTGTCCAGCCAATGATGTGAACTGTGGTTGTAAAAAGTGGAAGCTGTAGCATTGCTGTGTCAGCAGTTTGGCAAGGTTTTGTTTCCAGTAGACTGGTACTCCTTACGGACTCAAAATACCCTGTAACGCCTCAGTAGAGAGCTGTCTGCTAAATGCAGAAAATGAAATATAATTTAGAGGGCATTAAGCAAAGAATTTCTGTACCCTGACTGCTATGTAGAACGTTAGGGAAAGTGGACTTGTGCTTGTATAGAAACATATGTCTGACAAATCACAAATCCAGAATTTATTAATGCTTAATTATGAACATATACTGGAAAAGTCTATCTCAGATGGTAGTAATGAGATCTGGCCTAAATAAACTGCTTATTGAAAATTATTGAAAATTTGGTCAACTGCCAAATACGAAAGCTGCTTTAAAGTCAGAAATCTAAGTGTAATTATGTAATTCTGTGTAAATTAAGCAGAGAGTCACGAGGCTTCTTTTTACTTCATAAGGTGCTATAAAGTTACAGAAATTAGCAGGTTGTGCCAGTCAATATATAATAGTACTTAACTTTTTTTAATGAATTAGAGAGGCAAGCTGTTAACAGTCAAGGTTATTTCTCACTGTTCACCAGTGGACAGGCTATTCAGAAGAATATTATTATCAAACTACTGTTCAGAATTGAGCTGGTGAGTAAGACGACTTGTAAATAACAATGCAAAAAATATTGTTCCTAATCTGTAAAATATTTCAATAAAGCTGTACTTCATGTTGCTTAGATCTTAAGTTTAATTCCAGAAGCTTTAAAGATTACTTGAGATGAATGATTGAAAAAATTACCCGAAGTGGCTAAAATTAGCCTAGGCTTTCCATCCAGCACTTCAGTTTCAAGCTTCAGTCCATCACTACAAAATGAAAGACAGAAAGGGGAATCTGAATTATTAAGTAATCTGATAATTCTAAGATGTTTTACATTAATAACAAAGACAAATGTACTTAGTTATAACACTCTGAGAAGTTAATACTAAGAGATCCAAAGGTCTAGAAGAGGATATAATTTTATTATTGATACTTGAAAATTTGGATTTGCGTGCTACAAAGTAAATCTTCATGCTGAAGGTGCCATGTGTATTGCTGTGTGCCATGTGTATTGCTGTGCATGTTGTTATACACAGCAACACGCCTGCCTCAAGAATTTAATAATCCAGCCATATAAACTGTGCTACAGAAAGTGTTAAACAAGTCTCCCTGAAGGCCAGAAAGGGGCTTTATTCAGAAAAGTCTTTAATTGTGCTTCCATAGAAAACAGTCCACGCTGTATATTCGGGAAAAATTTCTTCACTGAGAGTGTTGTCACACATTGGAACAGGCTTGTCCAGGGAAGGGGTGGAATTGCCGTCCCTGGAGGTGTTTATAAGATGGGTTGGCGTGGTGCTGAAGGACATGGTTTGTGGTGGTTTTGTTGGTGCTGGTCTGATGGCTGGACGCCATGATCTGAAAGGTCCCTTCCAACCCAGGTGATTCTGATTCTATGATTCCATTGTAAGATTTTAAAAGAAGGGAAAAAGTTGGCAAGGTGTATGAGTGGAAAGTACCAAAATGCTTGTCCTTCTCCCATGCATTAACTTGAGAAAACCTAATATAAAGACTGATGTCCAAAATAACACTTATCTTCAAACAAAACAAATCAAATTGCAAACAACCTAACACATCTGAAGCTCGTACGCAAATTCCCAATTAACGCAGCAGCTGAGCAGGTGCCGAAGCTGCAATCCTAGAGGCGGAGGCACCATACGGCAGCTAAGCTGAGGCCAGCACCCACCGCTCTCCTGTGGCAGCGCGGCGGGAGGCGCCGCCGGGGCCGCGGGGCGCTGGGGTGACCCCGGAGCGGGACGAGGGCGCCGTCCCTGCCTCACCGCGCCGGGGGAGCTCCCCTGGCCGTCGGGACCGCCACCGGCGGGGTCGGAAAGCTGCACGTCTCGGCTGGGTCGCTCCCATCGCTCCCGTTACCGCGCTTACGGCGGCGAGGCACTAAGCGCCTTAACTCCCCTCAGAGCCGCGGCACCGGCCCGCTGCCCAGGGGGAGGCCGGGCAGGCTCCCGGACCGGCCGTGAGTGGACCGGGCGGAGCCGCGTTTTACCCGGTGTGAGCCAGTCCCTTCGTCCTCTCCCTCCTTACCCCAGATTCATGGCTGTGCCCGGCTGCCAGCGGCGCGGCTGAGGAGAGGGACGGAAGCGGTGTGCATCGCCCGCTCGCTGTGTACGGCGGTTGCCGGCCCCGCACAAGGAGGCGGCAGGCGATAGGCTTCCCGCCGGGCGGCGGCTTCGCCAATGGGCTCCTCGCACACTGCGGGGTGGGCCGCAGCGAGGCCTTGTGGGGGATGGAGTCCCAGGCTTGGGAGGTTCAGCGCACAGCCCGCCCCGGCGGCCTCGCCGAGGGTGGCGAGCTGTGATGGGGGATTATAGCGGATTCCCCTCCTCCCTCCGCAGCCGCTTTTCGGCGCTTAAGCGGCTGCGGAGGGAGGAGGGGAAAGAGGGACGAGCGGGGAGGGAAGGCGGGGGTCCGGCTCTGCCACCTCCGGACCGGTGGCTGCTGCCGAAGCGGCCGCGTTTCCGCTGAAGGTGCGGGGAAGAAATGGCTGCCGACGGCGCCTGAGCGAGCCGTGAGGGGTTTCACCCGCCTGTTGGGCATCCGGGCGCTGCCGGCCTCCGAACCGCGTCCGGGGAGAGAGGTGGAGAGCGGAGGGCGGCTGAGGAGCCGGCCGGGGCCGCCTGCCCGGCAGCAGCGCGCCCTGTGCGGGCGGAGGCGGGGGGTCCCGGCGGCGAACCTCTCCGGGCGTCCGCTGCTGAGGGCCGTCTCCTCGCAGGACGGTTTTCATCTTTAACTTTTGCTGTCTCTAACGGGTAGTGGTATTCAGTGGACTCTTCTGGGCTTGTTTTACCTCGGGCCACTGAAGTGGTTTCTGCGTGACGGTCCTGTGGTCTTTGCGGTGGCCGCTGTGTTTGGTGGGTTCCCCCAACCCCGCTCTGGGGGGTGGTGATGGGTATTTGTGGTCCGTTTGCCATGGTCTGTGAGAAGCGTCTGGGGAGCTGAATGTCGAGCACCATCCAGCCTGTTGTTCTGTAGGTATAGTTTCTTGAATAACAGGACGTGTAAACGTGCAAATTAAATGAATCCACGCTTTTGCCTCTTTTTTTTTTTTTTTTTTAGGAAAAGCATCTTCGACTTACATAAGGAGGATTTGCTGTGTTAAAGAGCATGGTCAGATTCAATAAAATGCTCCAGAGCCCATTTATATATTTTAGTATTCAAGACAGCATTTAAGCTTATGCTTAAAGCCAGATGCTTACTGAAATCCTTTATTTCAAAGGAGGTTATGACCTTAAGACTTGTCTTGAATAGTGTTGCTTCTAGATGTAGTTAATTTTGTCTGGCAAAAGATACCATATACGTAGGGGCGGATGCTATAGTGCTCACGCCAGCTGGCAGTAATAGAAGTTTTGCCCTTTTGAGATCACAAACCAAATAAGCAATAATAGAGAAAGAGACAATGAGGCTGAGTTTAATGTATACACAAGATCTGCTTTCTGCCAAACTATTGGAACTGCTTTGTTTGCCTTTATATAAAATGAACATGTCAGTCATCAGGCAAAATTATGACTTTTTTTCATGTATTGCTTCATAGCTATTTATATGGCTTTTATTGATTGATATATCAGCTAACGAGTCTTTGAAACTTTCATTTAGGGGCTAGAACAAGGGCAGAAAAGAAAAAACCTGTTTTTTTCTTAGCAGTGCACTCTATATAAAATCCTCTGAAGCACAGAACGTACCAGATGTGTTGTTGCTAACTGCTGCCATTTTTGGCTGCCTTATAGGAGTTTCCCTGAATCTCTTACTCTCGGAATCTCCCTGGGATGTCACCAAGAATAACCTCTGAACGTTAATTTGTTTAGCTGATATATTGTAGGATCATCATTAAGTGCAGGAGTAAAAATTCGATAAAAGTGAGACAAAAATGAAAGAACATGCTTATCAGAGTCTGCTGAGCAATGCTTTCCCACAACATTGAAATCAGGTTCTTGGGCGTTGTCTGTTTGGATGAAAACATTTCAGACAGGCACCATGTGTCTCCTTACCTACTGTTCAAGAATAGTTTTTGTAGTGTTCCATACAACAACTTATTTTCTTTTATTACTAACCTGGTCCCAGAAATACAGCTTTAAGCTATACCATTTTAATTAATGCTTTTTGTTTGTTTGTTTAATGGAGTACTAGTGGTTTGTTGGGGTTTTTTTTTCCCCCAGATAATTGAGTGAGTTAGTATGCTTATTTCTAACATTTCAGTGTACATTTTCTTTTTTGTGTGTGTGGTTCTCTGTTGGTATTCATAATATCTTCTAATTAATTTAACAGTGCTTATATACCAATTAACTTACGTTCTGTTTAGTTCCCTCAAAACACTCAAAGTAAGGTGTTAAAAAACCCTTAACCTTACTCTGTTTTTTCACCATCCTGCTTCTCCCAGAACATAATTCATTCAATCACAATGTGGCATTACCATGGAGAGACTAAATCCTCGTTTACTGTAGACTGTCATCTCTTTGCTAAAGGCATTACAGAAGACTGAAGCATTTTCTTCTTCTTAGTCAGCTTGTAGTATCCTCCATCTCTCTCAAAACACTGGGTCTGTAATCAGCAGCTCTTCACTTTCATGACTCTTACACACAATTGGGATGAAACGAGGGGTATCTGATCACTATGTGACAAGAGCTGCAAGAGGATGTTGTTTTATGGTGAGCAGGGCATGGCTACCTACGCAGTCCTCACTGGTAACTTCCTTCTCATTCACACATGTAATTTTTTCTGGACCAGTCATGGCCAAGCAAAAGAAAGGGAGAGTGGGCACTAAATCATTCTTCACAATTTACTAATTTGTATTTCATCCCCTGCTTCACAATGGATTTCCCAAATTATTAGGTTTCTATTATTCTGCAGCCAACCAGACGTGTCTCCTGATTTTTGTTAGAGACAGCAGGTGGCAATATAGTTTCAAGCTCTAAAGCAATTATTTTTTTTTCTGAAACAAGTTTCACAGTCCATTTTACTGTTTTCTAAATTAAACATCAGTGTTTTGATTCACTGTGTTTGATCCTGTTGTAGGGCAAAGGAATATATCAAATGACCTGTTGATTCACCAAAATCATATTCTCATGAGACTAGTAGTCTATTCTGTAGTCTATTCTGGGATGCACATTTCAGTCTGAAATAAATGTGTGTATGTGCATCATGAGAAAAAAATTGGGCTTCCTCACTACACAGAACTTGAGCACATGCACTGTTCCATAAGACTCAAAGGGAAGAAAGTTAAACATGTTTAAGGGAGGTTTGTTAGAGAAGAAGGGGGTTAACTGGACTGTACCTTTGCTGTTAGTTTGACTAGTACTTTTATTGTAAATTCAATACATAAAGCATGTATTCTTCTTTTACTCTGTAACTTTAAATAATCTTTATTGAATTGAACAGGCTGTTGCCCTATGCTAAGTCTATATATGTGAAGCACAACTGGTTTGGCTTGCATATTGTGTCAAATTAGTTCTTTACCAACTACACCATAGATAAGTCAGCCAAAATAATTTTACTTCGTGTACTACTTTATCATATGCCTGACAGACTTGCCATTTTTGAAGAATCATATTTTGTTAAGTGCAAGATTTTTTTACAATTAAAGGCAAATAAGATTGTAACTCATGTAAAAGGATTTCCTACACTGTAAAAAAAAAATTATTGCTTCTATTAATGCATGTTTGGCTTTGTATTATCATGAAGGCCAGAAAACTTTATTTTTTTTTTTCTTCCTTTCAAACTACCTTGGAAATTTCCTTCTGAA